TATTATTCAGTTCAACAAATGTTGACTCATCTTCACCTATTACTTTGACTCCTAGCAAAGAAGAGACTGCATTGCAGTATTGTCTGGCTTTGCAGGTAGAAACAATGAATTAAACCAAGTGCTCTCCTGGAAATTTATGCCAAAGAATTATCCCCAAAGTGGTCAGTCTTCTCTCTCATATCTATTGTCACAGCGTTTGTTGCTGAATGTTTGCAAAACTTCCCGAGATCCTTGGGAAGATAAGCTTTTCCAATAACAACGTTAACGCTTTGGTTATGAATCTATAAATCTTTCAGAGCTCTCTGGCCAAATATCATAATGATTTATTCCCCGAGTCTGCTCATGTAGTGCCTTCTACAGCACCAAAAATCCCCAGAGCAACTTACTAAAAGTAATAAGTTTTTGAAGTTGTGGTGCTTAGAGACATAGCAGATAAATTAAACTGGGTCTCTGGCCTTAAGGACCTGAGAGCATAGTAAAGAAGACTTTCATCTGATAGAATGTAGTTACGAGAAGCAGGGTCTGCCCATGACAAAATTATAAGGCTATTAAAGCATCTTCCCATGTTCCTTTTCTGTGCCATACTCCTTTCCTCCTGGTCCCCTCCTTCCCTAAGGTGCCCTGTGCCCTCATGAAACCCCGTTGTAACATTACATCTAGGCCATTGCAAAAAATAGCAATAGCAATAATAACTCACATTCCTATATCACTTTAAGGCGTATAAAACATTTCTGCTAGAAAGGTCTTGCTAATCTACTGCCTTAGTCCCAATGACTTCCCAGATAAAGCCCCCTTCTCTGGATTCGACCCCTCATATATGTTGTCTCCACCCATTAGAGTGTAAGCTCTTTGAGGGCAAGGACTTGTTATGACAGTTGTTATCCCCAGTGCTAAGTACAGTACTTGGCACATCACAGATGCTTCATAAATGCTTATTCATGCATCTAATAACCTTTCATCCCCCAGTACAGTGTAAGCTCCTTGAGGAGGGACTGTTTTTGGTTTTGGTTTTTGGTTTTTGGGGGTTTTTTTGTATCCTCAGTGCCTAGCAAACAATAAGTGCTTAATAAATGCTTGCCAGATTTATTATTATTGTAAATCTGACCTTAAAATGGCTCTATCCCTTGGGTCCCCTGAGTTGTTGAGCTCCTCCCAGAACCTTCATTTTGAGGAAGTGCCCAGGCCAGCCATATTCACAACCCATCTCTTCTTACTCTACTTCTAACTCTCTGGTCTTCTCCTCCATTCCCCAGCAGCCATCTCATCCTGGAAGATGCCTACACCTCTGGCTCTCTCCTTCAATTAGTAAGTTCTTCATGGAACTTTCACTTTGAGAAAGTACTCAGGCCAGCCACACTCCTTCCTCCTTTCCACCATGCCTTCCCGTGGGTACCTTCTCCCCACCTCACTCTCTTTCCCTTTTATGTTTTGTCTCTGATATTGGAATGGAAACTCATTTAGCTCATTTAGGCCTGACACATAGCATTCAATGCTTGTGGACTTGATTTGTTGGATTAGATAGGATTTAACCTCCTTCCTCATCTGTAAAATTGCTTCTCATAGCTTTTCGGGAAGAAAACACTTTGTAGACTTTAAAGCTTATATGTGAACTAACTTATTCCTATTAGTATGTCCGGCTGCTAGTTAGTTCTAAACTCGGAACCTAGAGATCCCGCACTCCTAGTCCAGGGTCCTTTCCACTGACATCTCATGTTAGGGTTCATGAACTTTTTTTAAAGCTTCCTGGCCATCTTAGGAAATCATGGCATCCTCATCTACTCCAGACATGCAATGAAGGCTTTCCAAGTAGTCCACAGACTGCTGTCCCTCAGTGTCAATGTTTATAATATTATAAGAGAGAACTGGGTAGACACTGCAGGCACCTACTCACAGGATGCCCAGATCATTTGAACCTCGAAATAGCAGGGCCCTGGGTAATTCCATTATGGGATAATTGTTTATCCAAGATCAGGAAAGAATAAACACAAAGAAACAGAGTTCAATCACCATTGCTAAGGACCACCTTTCCCCCACTTAGCTAAAGAGGCAACTTATAGTAATCCTACCTCACTTGACCTCTCAAAGGAAAGAGACTGATGAAAGGGTGGGTTACTCTGTGTATGCCCACTGAGTTCTGGTCCAGTAACCCCTGAATTTCAGTTCAATAACCCTCAAATCATCAGTTCTTTTTGCTCAGCAGTCAATTAAAGAACTCTTCACCATCTCCCACTGCAAACCCCTGAGTCATCAGGGCCAGAAGTGGGTTCACCCAAAGCTTCCACGCAGTTGCTTGGATGGGAGCCAGGCAGGAAATATGCATGAATGCTATAAGAACTAGGTCCCATAGAGAGTCCACCTAAATTCCAATCATATGGTATCAGCACAGGTATACAGGTTCTGCTTTATTCAAACCAATACAATCCCTTATGTACCAATGATCATTTAGGAATGGCTACCCCCACCAGGAATTCCCCTTTCCTTCCCAACTGCTGACATCTCTTTTTCTCTTCAAGGATTTTCTCCTACATTAGATCCTCACTTCTTACTCTACCAGTACCATCTTGGTTGGGGACAAGAAGATGGGTTGATTAGTATATAGCTACAGCTAGTCTCATTCAGGTGTTGCTGCTTCCCCAACTCCAATGCTGGGCAGTAACCCCAGCCCTCTTCCTCACTCAAACCTTCCTTAGAGTCCCATTCTTGGTCCTTATCCCAGAGCCTAAGCCCTAGCCCTTGTGATAAGATATCCATATAGAGAACTCTGTTTTCCTCTGAAATGACTATAATCCTACTTCTCTACAACCTGGGGCAGGTTTTCTGAGAGTACCCTAAAGGCATAGTGCTGCAAATGTATAAGCAGATATTATTCCTGATTGGCTGAGAGAATGCTGAGCCTTTGGCCTAGCAATAGCACTATGTTGATCCCAAAGATATCAACAAAAAAGGAAAGGATCCATATGTACAAAAATATGTTGTTGTTGCTGTTTTTTGTGGTGGCAAAGAATTAGAAATTGAGGGAACACCCATCAGTTGAGAAATGGCTGAAGGAGTTGTGGTAAATGATTGTGACAGAACACTATTGAGGGTGATGGTACCCAAAAAACCTGGGAAGACATATTAAATGATGCAAAGTAAGGTGAGCAGAACCAGGAGAACATTGTGCACAGTAACAGTAGTATTGTAAGCATTATCAACTGTGAAACACTTAGTTGCTCTGTTCAAGACAACAAGACAATTCCAAAGAACTCATGACGAAAATTACTATCCACCTCCAAAGAAAGAACTGATGAACTCTGAGTACAGATTGAAACGTATTTTTTTTTACTTTTTTTCTTGCTTTTTTGGGCTACAAGGCTGACATGGAAATGTTTTCTATGACTTCACATATTTAATTGAGTATCAGATTACTTGCATTCTCAATGGGGGGGGAGAGGCTGGAAGGAGGAAGAGAATTTGGAACTGAACATTTTTTTTTAAATCTTTTTTTTTAAGATTTATAAGAATGGAATGTCAATCACCCACATTTTCACAAACTAAGACTAAAAATATAATTCCTTTTTCCTTAAACAGAGAGAGAGAGGGGGCAGCTTGGTGGTGCAGTGGATAAAGCTCTGGCCTTGGAGTTAGGAGGACCTGAGTTCAAATGTGACCTCAGATACCTGACACTTACTAGCTGTGTGACCTTGGGCAAGTCACTTAACTCCAATTGCCTCACCAAAAAAAAAAAAGAAGAAGAAGAAGAAGAGAGAGCGCGAATGCTGAGCCTTGACACTTCATGAGTAGAAGAGAGACTTGCTTCAGTTTGGTGGACTTAAAGATAGGTCAAGAGAGAGGCAAGACATTTTTCGAATTGCAGACTGGAGCTCCACCGCTGCAGGCATGCAGGGCTCTTGACTTCCAAGGCTTGTAACCCTAGAGATTGCTGATTGTGGACTCTTCTTAGTAAGGTGATCCCCTCTTTTGTGGGTTGAGATGAGGTGTTTTAACTCATTCCTAACCAAAGAGCTCCTTTACTATTTGGAATTCACTAGTCTATTCTCTGACATTTGTTAACTATTTTACTTGGACAAATGGGCTTACTTGTTCAATATTTGTGATGGTCTTTTATGTAGCTGGCATTTGGTAGGAGGGAGTTATGCTAGTGAGTGTGAGCTAAGGGCTACCATCCCATCCCCCACTGAGAGTAAGCAGAGAAGCTGCTTTCGTTCTGAACCCAGGCTTGTACCTATAGACTATAGATATTTGACTTGTGGTAGACAGCTATGTCTAAGCTGCTGTTGCTCTTGGAAACTGGAGAAGAGGTTGCCCAGCCTTGAAAGTCCTAGATCCTGCTTTGCCTCTTCCCCAGCTAGACTGTTGGCCATGCCAAAAAGGAAGGCCAGATCCGAGATCCATGCCGCCATATTTATACGTGCTAGATAGCAAACACACACACACACACACACACACACACACACACACACACACACATTCCTTTTTATATGGAAAGACCTAACAATTATAGGTCATAATAGCTCGTTTATGTGGAGTAGAGTCATTCCTCATAACAATCTGGTGAAATAAGTAAAGAAAACAGAGCAGTAATATACCCATTTTGCAGATGAAAAAACTGAAGCTCAGAGGCCTTAAGTGGAAAGAGAACATAATAGAGAAATCATGGAATTTTGACTCAAAAAAGCTTTGGTCAGGTTTTCTACTTAAATTAAAATCAGCAAGCATTTACTAAACCCTTACTATGAGCTTTGCTGGGCACAGAGGATATAAAGACAAAGATGAAATAAACCTTGCCATCCAGAAACTTACACTCTATGGAGAAGACTCACCGTGTACACAGAATGGTAAATGCAAGGTCGTTTTCAGAAGGAAAGAGCACCAGTAAGCGGTGGGAGTTGGGCAAAACAGGGAAGGAAGGGACAACTGAGCTGAGCCTTGCAGAAAGCCAGTAATTCTAAGAGGCAGAGGCAGAGGCAAAGGGGGAGGGAGCACATTCCTGGCAAGGAAAACAGCCTGCACAAAAGCACCCAAACAGGAGCTGGAATGATGAGCTCCGGGAACAGCAAATGGACCAGTTTGGCAGGAATGTAGGGTATGTGAAGACAAGCAATAGGAAGTGCATGGAAAAGTAGGTGGGGAAGGGTAGAGAGGACTTTCAGTGTCAGGCTAATGAGGTGGCATTTTGTTCTAGGGGCCGTGGGGAGCCATCTTGGAGCACCAGAGGAACATGGTCAGGCTTGTGCAATACTAATCTGGGGAGAAGAGACACTGGAAGCAGGTAGGAGACTTGAGAAGCTACAAAAGAGCCCAGGCAAAAGCAGAGGGCCAGGAACAGGGTAGAGGCTATGTGAGTGCTAGAGTATTGGATCTGGAGTCAAAAGTTCTGGGTTTGAATCCTGGCTCTTCCATTTACTGATCGACCTGGAACAAGTTGCTTAACCTTTCTGGGCCTCAGTTTCCTCATTTGTTAAAAAAAATGAAGTGGTTGATCTAGATAATCTTTATAGGTTTTTCCAGCTCTAAACCTGTGAGTTATGACTGAACAATCAAATAAGCATTTATTAAGTACCTATTACATACTAGGTGCCATGCCAAACACAAGTATAAAAATGAGTCGGTTGCTGCCCTTAAGGAACTTACGTTCTTTCAGGAGGCTGCAACACCTATCAAGGAGTGATGCCTAGTGAAAGGCACTTTGGTCTAGGTAGCCACGTGGATGTTCCCTGGAGGGATAGGGCAGTAGATTATTATGCCTTTTACAGGAGCAATGGTCATACTGATAAAATTACTGTTTAATAATCTAGGTCAGGGCTTCTTTTTCACTCTCTACCCCTTTTCAAGTTCCAGCAGTGTTTGTTGGCATTGTGTGGCATGACGGCACGAAGCAGTGCAAAGTGAGCATGCTTTGTGTTCAGAACCAAGGCTTCAGTGAAGTTTTGAGATGCAACACGGGAAAGTGCTACCTCTTTCCCAATTCCTGGATTCATTACATGTTTGATTTTTAATTAATTTTTGGTCATTGTGTATTCATAAACCTTTTACTGTTGCCAAATTTTGGGGGTCGAGACCCACAGTTTAAGAAGTGCTGATCTAGGTGATAAAATAAGTGATGGGTTATTTTTATTATGTTTTAAGTATTTATTAATAGATGCTTATGAATCTTTTGGGTTATAAGTTTTTTTTGTAGCAGAGGAAATATATGATTATTATATACCTATCTTATACATGCATGGAGTATCTGTCTTGAAGGAACTCTGTTAATCCTTGTTTATGCCTATTTTATACGTGCATGGAGTATCTGTCTTAAAGGAAGTTCGTCCTTTTTGAGAGATCATACACATGAGGGATACTTATGCTTTGTTAGAGATTTTCCCTTAGAGTTCCACTCTGGGATAAAGGCAGAACAAGCCAGAAAGAAAGCCAGTGAGAAAAGCTTGACTCCAGTCTTTGGAATCAGTTCACACCAAGGATGAATCTGGGCTTTGTGTGAGCCCAGAGCTGGGACTTCTTGTGGAAGTCTTGTGACCCCTGCCCTGGGTCATAGATGATAGTGTAGATGACTCTTTCCAGAAGTTTGGCAGTGAAAGTCAAACTGGCTGTGTGACCCTGGGCAAGTCCCTTAACCTCTCAGGGTCCTAGGCAGCCCTCTAAGACTAAATTTCAAAGAAGAGGCATTATGGAGAAAGTTTCCTTTCTATACGAGGGTGGACAAAAACAACAACAACAACAACAAAAATCTTGATGTTTGCTTATTTGTCTTAATGTTATATTTCTTCCAAAAGAATGACAGTTCCTTAAGGGTATTATATTGTCTTTGTACTCCTAGTCCTCAGCAAAGTGCCTTGCCAACAGCAGGTAATTAGTAAATATTTGTTATTTCACCTCTAAGGAGCACTGTGTTCAGTTGCTTGACCCTATAGCGTAGTAGGGACCAGGTGCTGTCCACCACATGTTCATCCTCCATCTGTTGTGTTTCTGACCTGAGGACTCCCTGTGGCAGCTGAATCCCAGAAAAATGGTTGCCTCTCACCCCTTGGCACTGCCCCTTTGTAGATGGTGATACTTGCCTCACTAGACTCTGGGGTCAGCATGAATGTACACAACTAGAGCTTGTCTAATCACCGATCCAACTGTATTTTCTACCTTGTTACATTACTGCCTGTGTACCTTACTGATTCATTTACAAAGCACATTACATACAATTTTAATCAGATTCATAGGACTGAATAAAGAAAGCAACATTAATGTTCCCGGCTCTAACTTGAAATCTTCTTGACACCATTCATCAACCTTCCTCTTGTCAGGCAAGACAAAGAAAGAGACAAATTTTTTTAAAAACCAACTAGTAAACTCTGTTCTTCCCAGCTGTCTCTAGAAATAACTAGCAAGAAATCCACTCTGGAGGGTTTTCTACTAATGTCTAAATCTCCTGAAAAGTCAGTATCCCATCTGTTGGGGGAGTCTCAGGAACTCTGTGCATTTCTGCAAGTCCTTTTCTAGGAAGTGTGGGCTCCTCAGGCAAATGAGATTTATCACTGTGCCCACATCTGCACACAGGCTGTGGGACCTGGGCTGGAAGATCAAGGAGATAAGGGTGGATATGGTGACTCCAGAAGCTTAGTGGGCGGAGAGTGATGGGGAGCCAGCGTCTCTTGCTGCTGACTGACATTCATGGATATGCTTATGTTTATTTCAGGCTGGTGTGTGCTGTCAAATAAGTGCAAATCCAGCCAAGGCATTTGAATTAACTCTGGGTGCAATATCTGAGTTAGCCTCTAGGTGACACTCTACTCAAGCTGTTCCTCTCTGTCCTGTTTGGGTCCACTTTTAACCAAATGCAGCATTCCCCAGAAGCCACCAGTCCACTCAGCCCCTGAACGAGTCTGGACTGCTTCCCTTTCTGTTCCCATCTCTCCTGTCAAATGGCGCCAGTTTTGATGGAGGAAACATTTCGCTCTTTCCCCCCCTGGGTCCTACCCTAGGAAATCAAATGAAATATTAAATTATTAAAATGTTATAATTCTTTGTCTCTGCTCCCATCCCTCAGCGTATTTCAGTCCTTCAATTTTCTTCCCTCAAGACCCATAGATTTAAACACACAGTGTAGAGGCTTACTGCAGCTTTAAAGTAAATAAAAGGAAATTATAAAGGAAAGCATATAAATTCTCCATATCAATAGAGATAATCATAAATATCTTTTCCTTTTGTAAGATATACATGTGATTTTCATCTAAATAAAAAGATGACTAGGCTTCCCTGTGACATGGATAGATATGAGATCTAGTCCACCATGATCTCATATCTGGCCCACCTCTCTCCAAGGGAGACTATAACTTCCAGCTTTGTGGGGAGCAGGAAGAAAATGGTGGCTGGGCACTTGCTTCCTCCCTCACCTATCTCCAAGATGGTATTGGGCTAGAATTACATTCATCCATCACCCATCAGATATCTGTTAGTCTAGGCGTAGGAGAGGTTCTGAATAAAAGGCAGTATCTCTGATTGCTCTTAAGAGGAGCATGGTAGTTTACCACGGCTGGCGTCATTTCCTCCCACCAACCACTGGATACAAAAAAGGAGCATCATGAAAACTGAAAACAAGCTTATTTAACCTAGCAAAATAGTCAACAGAAATTGGGGAAGATATTCAGATTAGAAGAGATGAAAAGAATTCACAAGAGTAAAGGAGATATTTAGCTGGAGAGAGCAAAACCCACCTGAGTTCAACCAAGGAGAGGAAGAACCATCTCACCAAGGGGAGTCTGTTCTTAGCAGTCTCTGTGGTTGCTGGAAATCAAAGGGCGTGTTGCTGGGGTTGGGGTGGGGGAGGTCAGCTTCCCTACAGGTCAGTGGTTCTTATGGTCTGGTCGCCATTTAAAAGTTTGTGCTTCAACATGACTAGTGTGGAAATATGTTTAATATGATTGCACATGTGTAACCTATATAAGATTGCTTGCTGTCTTGGGCGGGGAAGAGGGGAGGGAGGGAGAAAAATATGGACCTCAAAATCTTACAAAAAGAATGTCGAAAACTATCTTGACGTGTAATTGGAAAAAATACTACTAAGTGCAAAAATTTTTAAAAAATTTTCTTTTTACAGTTTGTGCTTGCAAACTGACCACCCCTCCAGAATTCCTACTTTGCAGTCTACCTCCATTTATCACCATGTCTCCCCTCCTACGCCCACCATTCCCAGCATCAGCACTGAGGGTTCAGAGGTCTCTCAAGCAATCAGGAGTCATATCTCACACATGATGCACCAAGCCTGGGAAGGGAATTGTTATAATTTCATAACCCTCTCCTTCCCCCAATCTTCAGCATTGACAGAACAGTTCTCTAAGCACAAACCTTTGAGGCTTATAAATAAAGAGCTCCCTCTCTTCGCAAAGATAAAGACATGTGGGGAAAGAGAAAGCTCCCCAAGGCTCTCCAGGGTGGCAAACATGATTGATAGGAATTCAAAGTCCTCAGTAGACTTCAAATGCCTCATCCAATGGCTTCTTCTCTCCTTAAGGTCCCAGGTGATTCCGGCTTGTCTTCCAATCCCCAAAAGTTCCATTGAAGAGAGGCTACAAAGCAAAACGGCATTCCTTTTATCCTGTCTTTGTCTCACACTGATTAGTGCAACTTAACAGTGGTTAGTGCAACTTAACGGGCAAGCTCACATTCTTTAGAAGTGTCTCTACATCTGCTCCATCTGGCCTCCTCTGTGAATTATCCTGGGCCCATGGGCATTTCACAGAGGCCTGGAAACCAGGGCTATTATTTACAACAAAAATAATCAGATAAACATATGAAAGAATGAGGTACAATCTTGCCTCAAATCCTAACCTTTAACAGGGCAAAACTAAAAAGCTGGCAAAGAAAGAGAGCAAAAGCTTTATTTCTTTGCAGCTAGGTGGCCCAGCAGATAGAACATCAGACTTGCAATCAGGAAGACCAGAATTCATTCATTTCCTGCCTCAGCTAATTACTAACTGTGGGATCCTGGGCAAGTCACCTAACCTTTCTCAGTCTTAACCTGTTTTCTCATTTGTGAAAGGAGGGGGTTGGACTTGGTAGTATCTTAGACCTAAGGTTCCAACTCTAAATCGATGATTATTCCAAGCCTGTGGGAAGGTCCTCACTTCTTTCTGAGTATTTTTTTTTTTAAGAATCAGACAGAAGAAAAATGGCTTGTTCCAAGTCCCGCAGTTAGTGAGGAAAGGGTTCAAAATCATACCTTCTGATGTCCCCAAACAGCTCTCTTTCTACTATACCATGCAACCCTGGCTCTTTTGCTGCTGTGGCTTACTTGAGAGGGTCTGGACCTGAGATTTCATCAGTGTAGGGCACCACCTATAGGGAAACTGTGATGATGTATTTTCCATTAGACTATAAGCTTCTTGAGGGCAGGCACTGGCTTTCTTTCTGCTTCTATTTGTATTGCCAGTACTTAGCACAGTGCTTGGCACACAGCAACTACTTGTTGACTGACTGACTGATCCCCCAGCCCATGTCACTGTCAGTGACTTAGAGCTAGGCAGCCCAACTGCCAGTGTTTGGCAGGCATGGAGGTAGGAGGTGGGAATTCAGAGAGGCATCCTGATATCCCAAGTGGTAACACGATACCCATTTTCCCTTAGAAACATTGTTTTACACATTCAACAGACTCTGTGATAGGGCTATCATAGTAGTGTTCTATGCTTCTGGTCCATAATGGGTTAAACTAGGCATTTGTAGGCAAATGAAACCTCTATTTATAACACTGTGTCTCTGGGGAATGTGGTCTCAGCACTAACCAATTAAAAATCAAACTTTTGGAATACAACCTGTTCCTAAGCTGAGGAACTGCCTGTATTTGAAGATCTCCAAGAAATAAATTAGGGGTTGATGAAGCAAAGAAACTTACCCAAGAATTCTTTCAAATAGCAAGCTTGCCTGGGACATTTAAAATTGGATTTGCTTTGCAGAAATTCAATTTGCATACAATTGATTTCAAGCACATCTATGGGGTAAAGGAAAGTTGTCCCTCTGTACCTGATGCTCTGTAATAATTCCTGTACAGTACTGAGTCTGATGTCGTCTTGCTGAGTTGTCCGGTCAAAAAACCCAAACAAACAAACAAAGACCCCTCCAAATTAAATGCCATCAAGTCTAATTCCCTCATTTTATAGATGAGGAAACTGAGACATGGGTTAACATAGTTTAGTAAGTACCTGAGGTAGGATTTGAACTCAGGTCTTCCTGATTCCAAGTCTAGCCTCCTAATATTCCCATCTAGCAGCTTCCAAAGTTGGCCCTCTCGCCACAGATCTGCACTGTTTCTTCCCCTAGAACTGAAGTCAGGAAGACCCAAGTTCAAATATACCCTAAAACACTTAGTCGCTGTTTGACCCTGGGCACATCACTTAACCTCCTTTTGCCCTGGTTTTGTCACTGGTAAAATGAGGGAGCTGGCCTTCATGGCCTCCAAGGTCCATTTCAGCACTAAGTCTCTGGTCCTATGACATTTTTGCCAAGAGGCAGGAGGTAACTCATGTCCCCGCTCTAGGTCTGGGTTTTCTCTTTGGTAAAATGAAGGGGTTGGAGATGATCTCTAATGTCCCTTCTAGTTCTGACATTTTAGATTCTATTACAAACCCATAGCTAGGGTGGAGCGATAGGGGCTTTTTTCAAGGGTGCCAAATTTGGAGGGGGCACTTACAGCCCTTGCCGTTCTCACTTGAGGTGTTAGTACCTCCTCCAAATTTGGCACCCTTGAAAAAAGCCCAATGGAGGTGCTTTCTTTCTCTTCCATGCAAGGAGGTGGTACCTGCCTTCCAACTAAGGACATCTTTTGGGCTTCTTGTCTCAGTTATGGCTTTGTTCTGGTCCAGGGGTGGGGAACCTGTGGCCCTCAAGGCCACATGTGGCCTTGTCCTTGGGTGCACCTTTTGACTATGTCCAAATTTTACAGAAGAAATCCTTTTATTAAGGGGATTTGTTCTGTGAAGTTTGGATTCAGTCAAAGGGCCACACTTGAGGACCTAGAGGGCCACATGTGGCCTTGAGGCCGCAAGTTTCCCACCCCTGTTCTAGTCTATGCCAAGTCCCAACTACAAAGGTACATCTATGCACAAAGCCAGTCCTATATGTATTTTCAAGATGGTGGAGACCTAAATGTTACTCCCTGCTCTGTGTCCTTGGTACTAACATCCTGGACATCTACTGTCACAAACTTGGCACTCACACATGAAGAAAACCTAAGAGAGATAAGGGAAGATGGCAGGTAGTAATGTTGAATTGTATGGGTTGAAAGTGGGAGTAGGAGAAGAGAATCTGATTGCTACTTCATTTCCTCTGCTTTTCCTGGGATAATCCTGTTCCCCTATTTTCCCTGGGATAGAAAGCCTAGTTTTATTTCCCCTGCATATGGCTGCTGGGAAAACTGCCCTAAAATAATGTGCATTTTTCTTCTTTTTTGAGACAGATTCATCTCAAAAGCCAGAATACTGTTTTTGAAAATGCATTCAGAGGTGTGACCCAGATAATAGGCCTAAGGGCTCCCTGCGGGCTTTTCATGGAGATGGTGGTGGTGGGTGTGTGTGTGGTGTGTGTGTGTGTGTGTGTGTGTGTGTGTGTGTGTGTGTATCATAGATAGTTCTTAATAAGAGCTTAGATGCCTGCCTTTCCCCAGGCATATTTCTCTGAGTACTCTTCAATGGGTGGCAATCTGTGCTTCTAAATCTGATAGAATTTCTTGAACAAGGCCAACCAAGACAACCTTCCATTCAGACAGCCTCATGTTGGCTCATCCATCAAGTGCAGGGGAAACTAGCAAGGTCCAGGTGGGAGAGGTCAGTCTCCAATTAAGGGACTACAAAAGTATCAGACTTGATCAAACTCCCTGTCATGCCTCTAGGGCCTCAGACACAGAGTTCCCCGTAGAAGTGACTGAGCCCAATAAGAAGAGTTCATCTGCAAAAAAAAAAAAAAACCTTGTAGATCCTCAAGCGGGGCCACTTTATTTTCCATTCATGCAGGGATGGCCTGGAGCAGGAATCATTGTGTCTACCTTGGTAACACAGTGCTGCCTTCTAAGACTGGCCTGTTGTCACAGGACACAAAGTTCAAAGCCCAGCTTCTAAGAAACATCCTCTGAAAATTGAGTTTCAGTTGGAAAACTTCTGGATGCTTAAATTGGAAGTCACTGAAAATAGATTCAGGCCTTTGCCAGGATGCCCTTCCTACCCACTTCCCAAAATACCAAAATCAATCAGACAAAAAGCAAAACCTTCCTATGAGATGTTGGGAAAGTGCTGGCAAGAATTCTGAACTGAAGTCAGGAGATGTAGATTCTACTTCTACACTAACTGAATGATAGTGGACAGCCTCTCTGGGACTCAGTTTCATCATCTGCAGGATGAAGAGAACACCCACCTGCCCAACCTACCTCACAAGGCTGTTGTGAGGGTCAGACTAGATAATGAATGGAAAAATATGATGCCTTACTTTCAGATTGTAATTCAGTCTACCTTGAAACAAAATGGCGGCCTAAAATTTTTCAAATGGGTATCTCTTCTTTCATTATAAATTGATGAAGAATGATATGAACAGAACCAGGACAACAATTTATAGACTAACTACAACACTGTAAAATATCAACAACTTTGAAAACTGTAATAACTATGATCAATACAGTGACCATTCATGATTCCAGACCAATGATGAAATATACTATCCATTACTGAGAGGAGATGTACTTAAGATGCAGAGGGAGATATATTTGTATACAGCCGTTGAGAGAATTTGTTTTGCTCTACTATGCATATTTGTTAACAAGAAATTTGTTTTTCTTTTTCAATGGAGCAAGAAATGAGTGAAAAAAGATATCTTTTTTTTAAATAGAGAGGCATGTGTGTGTGTGTGGGAGGGGTTATATGTGAAATGTTGCAATATTTCATGCATTTTCAGATGAGGTTACTATATTCTTAGTTTTAATTAACTGTTTTATTTTTTCTTATAAGAGACCTTTCTCAAAGTGAGAGTTATCTTCAAATGTTTGCTATGTAAAAATAAGACATATCAATAAAACTATTTTAAAAATCATATATTTAAAGGAAAAAAATTTTTACAAAAGTAAAAAGTTTTAAGGTATTAAAATACCATGCATTATTTTAATATATAATATGTTATATGATATAATATATATATGTTATATAATAATATAATAAAGTATTCTAGAATTATATATTCTTAATAATGTTATTATAATCCACGTATATACACATAGAATGTTAATGCTAGAGAGAACCTTTGAGTAAAATCATCTAACTCTCTCATTTCTATAGTTGAGAATACTGAAGCCCAGAGAGGGGTCCCGCAATAGGACCAAGATCTCCTGACATCCAGGCCAATGCTCTTTCCAGTAGTGCCCAGGAGAGAGTGTTACTAACTCTCTCTCTTTTTGCATCAGCCTTTTCCTGTCCCTGCCTCCTTCCTCAGGAAAACATAGGTAGAGAATTTCCATTGTCAAGCCCTGGACCTGCTATGTTCTGCTATAACTGTAAGATCTTTAGCAAATGACTTGTATTCACATAGGTAAAAT